GCCTCGTCCTGGTCTCCACGGTCCCACCTCAGCTCTTCTCCACCAGGGACCTCCCGAGACCCCAAAATACCTCAAAAACCCCAAAAAGTCCCAAAAAAACCCAGAAGAACAAAAAAAAAACTCCAAACCTTTTATATCTTCTCCATCTTGGCCTTGTCCTGGTCCCCACAGTCCCACCTCAGCTCTTCTCCACTAGACCCCAAAATACCTCAACCCCCCCCAAAAAGTCCTAAAAAACCCCAGAAGAACCCAAAAAAACCCCAAAAATCCCCAAACCTTCTTGACCTTCTCCATCTTGGCCTCATCCTGGTCTCCATGGTCCCACCTCAGCTCTTCTCCACTATGGAGGTCCCAAGACCCCAAAACACCTCAAAACCCCCCCAAAAATCCAAAAAAAACCCAAAAAAAACCCAGAAGAACCCAAAAAAAACCCAAAAATCCCCAAACCTTCTTGAGCTTCTCGATCTCGGCCTCGTCCTTGCGCACGCCCTGCTCCCACATCAGCACCTTCTCCTGGTCCTCCCGCAGCTGGTTGCGCTCGAAGTCCAGCTGGATCCCCAAGCGCGTCTTCTGGTTCTCAAACTCCAGCCTGGTGGGACCGCCAGGAGGTTTTTTGGGGTTCCTCAGAAGTTTTTCGGGGTCCTTCAGGTGTTTTTGGGGCTCTTCAGAGGTTTTTTGGTATCTCTGAGATATTTTTTGGGGTTCTAGAGAAGTTTTTGGGGACCCTGAAATGTTTTTTGGGGTTCCTCAGAGGTTTTTTAGGGTGGTTCAGGTGTTTTTTGGGGTTTCTGAGATGGGTTTTTTTGGGGTTCCTCAGAGGTTTTTTAGGGTCCTTCAGGTGTTTTTGGGGTTCCTCAGAGGTTTTTGAAGTTCTTGAGGTGTTTTTGGGGTCTCTGAGTGGTTTTTTGGGATCTCTGAGATATTTTTTGGGGTTCTAGGGAAGTTTTTGGGGACCCTGAGATGTTTTTTGGGGTTCCTCAGAGGTTTTTTAGGGTGGTTCAGGTGTTTTTTGGGGTTTCTGAGATGGGTTTTGAGGTTCCTCAGAGGTTTCTTAGGGTCCTTCAGGTGGTTTTGGGGTTCCGCAGAGGTTTTTGAGGTTCTTGAGGTGTTTTTGGGGTCTCTGAGTGGTTTTTTGGGATCTCTGAGATATTTTTTGGGGTTCTAGAGAAGCTTTTGGGGACCCTGAGACGTTTTTTGGGGTTCCTCAAAGGTTTTTTGGCGTTTCTGAGAAGTTCTTTGAGGTTCTTGAGATGTTTTTTGGGGTTCTTCAGGTGTTTTTTTGGGGTTTCTGAGATGGGTTTCGAGTTTTGGTGTCCCTGAGGGGTTTTTGGGGTTCCTCAGAGGTTTTTTGGGGTGGTTCAGGTGTTTTTTGGGGTTTCTGAGATGGGTTTTGAGGTTCCTCAGAGGTTTTTTAGGGTCCTTCAGGTGGTTTTGGGGTTCCTCAGAGGTTTTTGAGGTTCTTGAGAAGTTTCTGGGGTTCCTCAGAGGTTTTTGAGGTTCTTGACGTGGTTTTGGGGTCTCTGAGGGGTTTTTTTGGGTCCTTCAGCTGTTTTTGGGGTCTCTGAGGGGTTTTTTGGAGTCCCTGAAAGGTTTTTTGGGGTTCCTTCAGGTGATTTAGCTTCCTCAGAGGTTTTTTGGGATCTCTGTGAGGTTTTTTTGGGTGTCCTGAGGGTTTGGAGGACCCCCTGGGCCATTTTTGGGGTTTTAGTGGATTTTGGGGACCCCTCGGGCAATTTTTGGGGTTTTGGGGACCCCCCTGGGGTCGTTTTTGGGGTGTCCTGACCTTTTCTTGGCGATCTCGTTCTGCCTCTTCACCTTCTCCTCCTCGAACTCCCGAATGTTCCGGACGCCGATTTCCCGGCAGAACTCCTCGAAAACCTCGTCCTCCACCTGGGGAACCCCAAAATCTGGGGGACCCCAAAAAAATCCGCCCAAAAAAACCCAAATCCCCCCC